CATCATTAGGAGTAATGTTTGCTAACCGTTTTTGAGCTCTTCTTTATCAGAATGAGTAATAAGTTTTTTGTTTGTTTTTAAATTTTGATTGCTAGGTCTTCATTGTGATGTGTGGGCTTTCTCTGCTTGCATGGGGGCCTCTCTTGTTGCAGAGTGCAGCCTCGGTAGTTGCACCTTGCCGGCATAGTTGCCCCGAGGCAGGTGAGATCTTAGTACCCTGACCAGGGACGGAACCTGTGTCCTTAGCATTGGAAGATGGATTCTTAAGCACCGAACCACCAGGGCAGCCCCACTAATAGATTTTTAAAACATGGTTGAGTATTGAATGTCATTAATTGTGTTTCTACTTGATCTGTTAGTGTGATCAGTTGGTTTTATAGATTTTTCTTTTGTTAAAGTTGCCTTTGCATTTCTGAGTTGAAACCAGCTCAACCGTGTGTCATGGCCTTTTGTGAATGGCTGAGTTTGTTTGGTGTCAGGGTCACATCACTTCGTGAGTTATGTCTTTCTCATTCTTGTTTCCTCTTTTCTGGATCAGTCTCTGTAAGATTGGTTGTTTTGTTTTTGCTTTTTGCTAGTTTAGTAGATCTCACCTGTAAGTTTAATAAGCTGGTATTTTCTTTGGGGGAAGAATTAAAAAAAAATTTTTTTTTTTGGTTAGTTATGGGAGTATTCAGGTTTCCTTTTTTCCTTGATCCAAATATGAAGACACTTTTTTTTCTATTAATACATTTATTAGAATGAAACATGCCTATTTCTTATAATTTTGTTCCTACTGTTATTTCAGAATACAGTTTTAATGTGAAAATGGTATATGGTCATTGGTAAAAGCAATTCAGATAGTACATGAAATTAAAATTCTCCAACATTCCCTCATTTATCACTTTCTTGGCATCTGTTGATTCACATCCAGACCTATATAATACCTTTATATAATCATCTAACGTCATTAATTGGAGTTAGAAATCGTTTTTAACGCAGAACTTTAGGGAATGATTCAGTGAATTAGTTTGTACTGTTTTCAGTAATGCTGCAGCAAATACTGTCATGCACAAATCACAAGTGACTCCCCAGTTAGACAGACATTCTTAAATCAGCTCCATTTTCACATAACCCCTCAAATGGTGTCTTGTTCTCTGTAAGGTTTCCCTTTCATGAATTAGGCAGCCTTTAACAGTGGACGTGTCCTAGAGAGAAAGAACTTAGTCATTAAAACTATAACAGAGGTTATTGTATTTTTTTCATAACTCTTTGTTTCATACAAAACTTCTGATGGCTTATAAAAAGAACGTTTAGAGTGAGATAATCTTTTAGAACTTGCAGAAGGCAATTAGATGAAAGAGGAAAGTAGAAAGTCAAGCCTAGAGAAAAGGAGCAGTCTGAACAATCAGGCTGTAGTATCTGTAACCCGCAAGCCTGACTTTTTAGAAGGGGCTGGAGATAACCAGGTCCTTAGAAGGCTCTTGGGGGAAAAAGAGGAAGCACACCTGCTCCTCAGAGGAATGCTCCCGAATATTTGGTAAAAATAAAGATGGAAAATGATCTCCTGCAAAGCTTCATGTTGTGAATGACACGGATCCTCAATCCCATGGCAACAGATGATGTCTGAATAGGTTTTATTTGACTCTTTAATCTTCAGTGTTCCACCAGAGTCTAGCTTTTGGATTTCTTTTTGAACAGCTCTGTTTAATCATCAGTTTTTCATTATTTTTATTCTTTCTTAGAGACCTTAGAACAAAAAGAATATTTGTAATTATCTTAACATAAGGCTAAAATGCATTGTGGAATTTTAGTGATCTGCTTTATATTTTGAAGTGTTTTGCTATTTCATAATCTTAGAAAGTAGTTCACCATTACTCATCAATTCCCATCTATAATTAAAAAAAGAGACTAAAAGAATAAGAAAATGGAAGAATGATAGAATCACCTACAAGGTTGGTGGAATAGTGAAATTAATCATCACAAATAGAATAAATAACTACTCTCTATGACTTCAGTTTCCTGATTGCATTTTCTAAAATATGGTACAGTCTTTCAAGAGGTCTTGAGATGCCATTTTTTTTATGTTATGTTGTTGTTGTTGTTAACATTTCATTGGATGCTTTTTTAAATTCAGAGTTTTTCACTTTCTGCCCAGAGTATCACAGAGAGAAATTTTCAGAATAAGATGTTTCACAGTGCTAAGCAGAAGATGAATGTAGAGACAGCAGCTCTCTGAGCTCTAATAATGTTGGTAAAACTGATGTGTAAGTGAAATCTGAGACAGTTTTAGGCGATCAGTTTTCCCAAGCTCAAGTTTATGAGCCAACAGTCTTATTTCCAAGAACAAAAAGAAAATATGGCATTCCCATCCAGTCAGTTATTCTATGGAAAAGCTTCACCCAATATTTTGTGAGTTTAAAGTTTCCTAAAGTTTACTGACGGTACTCCATCTTTTTTGATGTTTGTGCAAAAGAATTTTATTTAATAGGGTTTATAATTGCATTGAAAGCAGTGTGGAAGGAAATAACTGATGTAATGGAAAAATTGACTGAATTGATCATTTTTATTGGTATTTAGAAATTAAGCGAATATATGTTACTGCCTTTATGGAACCAAGAACATGGCTGTCCTTCAACAAAATTACGAGCTGTCAAGGTTTGAAAAAACACCTCTGATGATGCTTAAGCAGGAAGAACCAGCATGAGTAGGACGCTAGGACCTCCTGGAGTTAGACTTTACAAGTGCAGTTGGTCCTCGTTGAATGTGGATTCCATATTTGCAGATTCACTTTCTTGTTGAGAACTCTTTGTGACCCCCAAAATCAGTACTAGTGTGACTTTTCTTGGTCATTTATGGACATGTGCATGCAAGAGTGACAAAAACCATGATCCACCCAGCATGCTTGTTCTCACTACAAACAGATGTCCTTCTCACCATCTCCAATGCTGCATTTTTGTGTGAAATGGGGTTCCCCAAATTTTTGTCAAAAAATACTGAAGTACTTAACAATTCAATGATCTTGCTATTTCAGATGGCTTCCAGGTGTTGTGCCCAAGTGCATTGAGGCTGGGGCATGCCTTAGGGAGAAGATGTGTGTGTTAGATGAGCTTTGTTGAACAGGCTGCTGGCCATGAATCAACATTGTATGTGAAGTAGGGTGTCTATGCACAGAAACACGTGTGAAACAAGGTGATGTATCCGTTTGTCCACCTTTGCACAGTGTAACTGCAGTGACCAGAGTGTTTGCTGATTCAGTGCTGGGTCAGCTTTACAGGATGTAAATATCACAGATACTAAGAATTGACTGTTTACAATATGAGTATGTCCTAGTTAGTTGTACTCAAATAATGTTGCTTGTTTTCAGTAAAAACACCTTCACGATCAGAAAAATAGGAATAAAATTTGGGTTTGCTGTTTTAAAAAATCATTTGTATAATTTACTGATTTATTTTTGGCTGTGCTGGTTCTTCATTGCTGAAGAGAACTTTCTCTTGTTGAGGTGCTCAGGCCTCTTGTTGCAGGGCAGGGGCTCCAGCTGCGTGTGCTTCAGCCATTGCGGCTCCCGGGCTTAGTTGCTCTGAGGCATGTGGGATCTTGCCAGATTAGGGAATGAACTCTCTCCCCTGTGATGGCAGATGAATTCTTAACAACTAGACCATCAGGGAAGCTCTGGGTTTGCTATTTTTAAATTCTTTATGAAGTTATCTAAGGAAGTTTGTTTTTACTTTCGCTTTATTCTTTTGTGAAGTTTTCACAGATTACTTTTAAATATTTTTCAAAAAATTAAAGCTTCATTTGATGTAGAAAATGACCATTTTTCTCTGTATTCCCTAGGTTAGTAAAAGCTAAAGACATAAAACACTATTGCTGGACGCAGTTCTTCAGATGCTTACCTACTCCCGTCTGAAGGTGGTATTTGACATCTGGCTTAATTTGGAATTCTTGAAAGAGATCTCCCATTACTTCCTTCTTTGAGTCATTGACAGATTGCTGGGATAACAGTCTGAGGTGGTTGTCCTGTGATGGAGGTTCCAGACCTCTGTGTTTGTAGCTTGAGGCTAGAAGACAAGCTGTAGACCAAACCTGAGAGACACCATTATCACAGCAAATACCAACCCCGGGATGTGCATTTCTCTCTTATGACCTTTAGTGTGTCTTCTGTGATTGTTTGTTTGCTTCTCCCTTTTTTTCATTGGACTCAAATGTGAAAGTCTCTGAATGCTGTTATTTATGTTTTTGAACATAGTGCTTGATACATAAGTATTCTGGATTTCACTGATTGGTGATCTGGTGAATTTGTGGATGAACAAATCAATGCAAAGACTAAATTGTATACAGTCCTACTAATTAATGGCAAAATTCAGGCGTGGTTTCTCACTGGCATGTGAGAAGAATAAAGTGTCAGACGCTGCGCTCGCAGAGCTGCCCAGAGTCGCTCAGTGTGGACTCTTCCTCACTGAGAAACCCTCTGCTCTGAAGTGATCTTAGAACCCAGCCTGTCCATGCTGGGGACATGCTATCCAAGTCTGACACCCACCCGCGACCCCCAGGTTTGCTCGCCATCCATTGGCCTCCCCATGCGTCCTCACTCATGCTTCTCCTTAGGGCCCTCCTCCAGGTTCTCTGAGGCCCATTCTTGCCTTTCCAGTTTCTAATACAATGTCATGGAGTATGTACAAAGCCCGAACAGTTCTCTTCTTGACATAGACAAATGTCAGTTATCTTTGCTTGAAAAATGCATGATCTACAAAGTGCTGAACGGTTAGTCTTTTACAGAAATGAACATTAATTCCTATTTGCCTAAGAATTTGATTAAGTTAGAAAGCTTTTTAGAAAGTCTAATAAGAAGCCTGTACATCTTTACTGCAGTGTTTGAGTTGATCAGTTAATTTGAAGATGAGATCAGCTAGCTCAGTTGCTGATTGCTGATTGGGAACTTTGTTGAAGGCCACCGCGTGGACCTGTCTGCGGTGACTCATCTCACTGGTGTCTGTCTTGTGAATGCCCCTTCCTCCTAGCTGGACAAAGATGACATGGTGTACATGGAGGCATACGACAGGCTGCTGGAATCCTGGCTGACGCTGGTACAAGACGACAAGCACTTCCATAAAGGCTTTTTCACCCAGCACGCAGTCCAGGTGTTCAATTCCTACATTCAGTGCCACCTCGCTGCACCCGATGGCACAAGGAATCTGGTGAGTTTTCAGCCAGGTTGTAGTTAAAAATCTGTTTCCTTGTGGGCTCTCGTTGGTCTGTTTGTCCCATCACACATGATACTAGAAATTTAGGGTGAGCTCTTTACAAAGACTTGCTGAGAGTGCCACGTGGAGAGCAGTCATCTATGCAGGTTTGTGTTTCATGGGCTGTGGCTTCTGGTTCTCCATTTCTCTATAGTTCTCAGTCACCTGCTGTGTCTTGTTGGTTGTCCAGTGACACCCAAGGGTGGTGGCTCTTGGTGATGTCAGAGCTCCTCAGAGATGACAGGAACTCCACTCCGTGTGGGGGGTGGGGTGTAGGTGTGCACTGGCCATGTTTATCTGATTGGTGGGAGTGGTCAGACCCCCACTTCTTTCTCTTCGAATTTTCCCCCTTTTAGTAACTGGGCAGGCAGGCGGGCATCCCTAGCAGCTGCACTTGAAGGTGCTCCTTCTTGAAGGTCCTGAGGTTCTGTTCCTCAGCATAGCAACAGGCTGGGTCCTAAGATCAGCTCAGTCTTTTCTTTCTTTCGTCAATAACAGACTGCCAACGGAGTGGCCTCTCGGGAGGAAGAAGAGATCAGTGAACTCCAGGAGGACGACCGAGACCAGTTTTCTGATCAGCTAGCCAGTGTAGGAATGCTAGGACGCATTGCTGCAGAGCACTGTATCCCTCTCCTGACAAGGTACACACGGTCCAAAGACACCCCATGGAGCAAACACCCTGTAGTCACATGCCCCGGAGAGCTTTAAGTGTTTAAAGACTGTAAACACCCCCGCCCCGGGCACAGCACATGGAACAAGTGGACAGAAACGCACTCGTGGTGGCGTTCCTTGGCTTGTACATTTGGAGCCCAGGCACCACAGCATAGATGGCAGACAGATTATGGAAAACGTGGTATGAGAAACATTGGACCCATATCAATAAACACTTGGAATAACTGGTTTTCAAATGCCTGTTGTAAACCTTGATTGTTTGTAAAGTGATGTTTTAATACTGTGTCATAAACAATAAATCACAATTCTTATAGCGCCATGAGAACATTGTGTATATAATAAATATTTCTGTATATGTGCTCTGTGCTAACATCTGAATCCACGCTGTCAGTAAATGGGAGTGATAAGTCGCTCTAGTCTTTGCTCTGCAAGCCTCATGAAGGCGTTGGTGTCTTCCCTCTTGTAGTCTGTTAGAGGAGAGAGTCACGCGGCTCCACGGGCAGCTCCAGCGGCAGCAGCAGCAGCTCCTCGCCTCGCCCGCCTCAGGCTCCGCCGACAGCAAGACATTAGACGACCTGTACGAGGACATCCACTGGCTCATTCTAGTTACAGGTCAGTTGCTTGTTTCCTGGCCTGTGTTAATAGCAGCAGTTCTCGTGTAGGGTTGAACTTGAGACCTGGACACAGCTGCGTGTGTCCCAGAGCAGGGGCAGTGTCCTTACAGGTCCCGAACCACATATTCTGTGTGGAGCTCAGTGCGGCCCCTGCGTTGGTGCCGTCACTAGGTCTCACTGTGTCCTTGTTGCTGTTATTGATAACTCTGGCTGTTAATTATCACCCTGTCTTACCTGTGAAGAAGCTGAGACCTGGAGACTGGCCCTGGCCATGCTAACATTTGGAGCCAGAGTGCTGGTCCTGGCAGTCTGACTTTCCTTTAGGGTCTTCTGTAACCATGTTGTCAGTGTTTCTGTATTTTAAATAATCAAAGGGGAAAAGACCTTACTGTTTGGAAAGGCGTTCCCAAATATTGACTTTTTATTGAGGTAATAGAATTCATGTTAATTTTGCAGAATATATTACCAGAAATTCTTTAAAGGTCATAGAGTAAAAAGCCTACATGTCAATATATGAATTTTAAAATTGGTGAATAAAATATTTGTCCTTTCCTGTATTTTTGAGGATTAATTATCTTAGAAATAGAAAGTTTCTTCTCATCAAGGTTGAAATTAACATATTAACGTTTATTATTTACTTTTACATCAATTTATATGATGTATATAAATCAAAACTGAACGCATTTATAGTGTAATTTGATAAATGTAGATTGTTAAGTGTTCATTTTTAATTTTTTTTAAACTGAAGGCTACCTCTTAGCTGATGATACTCAGGGAGAGACTCCGCTAATACCTCCAGAAATAATGGAATATTCCATTAAGCATTCATCTGAAGTTGACATTAATACAACACTTCAAATTTTGGGATCTCCAGGAGAAAAGGCTTCTTCCATCCCAGGGTACAACAGAACAGATTCTGTGATTAGGTAATATGACCTCTATAGCTGTGCTCTTGTAATTTATTCTGTTTTATAAATTCTGAGTTGATGGGTAGATGACTTGAGTGACAGACAGGTTGTTGTAAAGCTGACACATGAAAGAAGATAAAATTTGGAGAAGCCTTGAAACAAGCAAGGATGCAGGTACTCTGTGCATTTGAGCAGCGTCACTCTGCTGGGAACGGACAGCGTGTCCAGGGCTGAGGAAAACAGCGTGAGGTTACTCCGGGTGTAGCGAGGCTCTGGGGGGACATCCGGGCTGATTGTCACAAACACATCCCTTGCCCACCAGAAAGCAGTGCTAATGTGGGCTCAGGCATCCGAGTGAAAGCACCAGGACTGGGGAGTTCTTGGAAACCAGGTGGACGTGAGCACATCCTTACTGTTTGGGAAGCTGGAATGTCTTTCCAGGGGCGTTACCGCCTCTTTCAAAGCAAAAGTTTTTGTTCTGAGTATGTGACCCTTGGCAGCCCTGTTACAAGATGGCAGCAGCCTCCAGAGAGAAAATTCACTGTGATCTTTCTAAGACCATTGGCAGATCTTCCATTAATTCTTGGCGGTGAGGTTAAGGTGGGATGAACCTCAACTAAATATCCTCCTGAAAGCAGATTTGAAAACAGCAGTTTAAGTTTCAGCATCTTTAAATTTAGGTGGCTGGAAGAGAGAATAATGAAATAATACTGCTTCTGTCAGTTGCAAGATCAGTAACTCAAGATGCTGCCCCCTCATTCTTTTTATTTTAATGCAAATACATAGATACCACTTAAACCTGTGCAATGAAAAATATGATTTTTAAAACATTAAACTGTCAAGCAGACGTCAGGGAAATGTTTGGGAATTTATTTCCTTTATTGTTGCATTCTCTCATTGGGAATAAAATACCCATGCTTTACTGGAAGACTCTTCTTTCTTCCCTTTGGAGTTGCTTGTAGGCCTTAGGTGAGCAACTGGTTTGGATTGGTTTGGTTCATGGGGAGTATTAATTCCATGGTGCCGTCCTGTTATTTCTGTGCCTTTGTCCCTGTCTGGGCAGCACCCTCAGGAAAGCTGTCCTTGTATTTTCAGTGCTTTTTCGATTCTTACCACTCTTGGGTATCAGTGTGGGGGCAAAACATTTTGGTATCTGAGAGCACAGACTGGAGGGTTGAGGTGGGGGTGAAACAACAAAGAATCGCTATTGTTTTTCAGTCCAAAGAATTAGTGTGAAATTGAGTGGTAGGAGAGAATCAGGCCTTGTTTATTAAAAAAGTAGTTCATATTTCTTGAAGAATTGATCATTTGACAACTACTGAATCCTTACTATGCACCAGACACTGGTCTAGCCAAAGCAGACAGAGGCTCCCATCTTCCAGCTCCTCATGGGCAAGAGGGAGAAGTAGGAGGCGGGGGAATTGTTAGCCAGCGTAGGAGCTGCGGGAAGCAGACAGGGCCATGGGCAGACCTCACGGCTGCTGTCATGTCACGTGATATCACTTGATGCCACGAATATGGGCTTTACCTCAGAGGCACCAGGTGCCCTCCTGTTTTAGAAATACCTTCTATTTACTTAGGTGAATGTGTGTTCTCAGTGCTTATATCCATTGAAATGAAAAGCAGTAATCAAATTAAACATAATATGGGCTAATTTAGAAAAAGAAAACCCACATTTATCTTATTCAGATACATACATCTTTGTGTATGCTAATTTTTTAAGTTGCAGTATAATTGGCCTACAATATTATGTGAATTACAGCTGTACAATATAGTGATTCACAATTTTTGAAGTTTATGTGACATTTACAGTTATGAGATTTTGGCTATATTGTACAGAAATTTTTAAATGAATGTGTTTAATTTATTTAAATTGGCATTACATTTTGCTTAGTTGTGTACTAATAAGTATTGTAATGATAACTTAATCCAGAGGACATCTTTAGCACAGACTTATGGGAAATTTTTAAGAATGGTATTTTAATATCTTTATATACTTGTTTCAGAGAAGTGTATGGTATATGATCAATAAAGTGAGCATAAACATTTATTGTGTTAGGATAATATTTTATGGGGAATGAAATGGAAATAAAAATTTAAGGAGAAAAAGAGTATAAAGTTTCCAACTGTTAAAAGAACAATTTGTTTATTTTTCAAATGAATGATGGTGGTGTCAGAATTCTCTGATTATTACATTCCAATGCATACATTCAAGTGGCCACTGTAATTACTTAGTTCAGATTCTGTGAAGCTGCAAATTATATCATTTAAACAATTAATGGAAAAAATCTGATAGGCCAGCTTAAAATGGGTTGTGAAATTGTTGGGTTATTTTTGTTCATAAACTCTTTAACTTTTAGCACTTTGGCATAGCATTGTATATACATATATATGTATGTGTATATATATATATATATATATATATATATATATATATATATATATATATATAGTGAGACATAAGAGGTTCTGGGGACAGGACCTTAGAACCTATGTGGTATGGGAGGTGGGGGTGGTGTCACAGGCCTGGAAGGAGCCGGGCAGCAGGGAGCACCCACAGCAGGAGGTGCTTCTCAGTAGCTGGTTGGGTCAGGAACTGAAATTGTCTATGAGCTTCCATGTAACGAGGGGATTTCTGTCCCAAGAGGAGTGGTCTTACCTCGGCACTGAAGTTGCTGAAGTGGTGTCAGGATGGGCTCCTCCCCTTCAGTCCTTCGCTGCTTTGCCTTTTAGCCAAAGTCAGGTTAAATGGACATCACTTGTGTCCCCTCCCAAACGCAGAACAAAGACTTTTTTACTTACCTGCATATCCTGCTATGTTAATACTACACAGGATATGTGTAGTATCTGAACCCCATAGTGTTCAGAAAGGATCATACGTGCAACATTTTTATTGAAAAATGCCATTACTAATCAAGTTTGTTAGAAAGTAAATAAGACTGACAGATTTAGAAACAAGACTCAATATTCAGATGAGTCACTTAGCTGTGCCCGTGTACACTGTAGAATAGCCAGCATGTGAAAATAGAGCAGTGCCAACAGTGGGAATTTTAAGTTGCATTTACTCTGTGCGGTTAACTTCATGCACTTCTCCATCTTGAATCTGTACATGGTAGATTCATGTGTGCTCTGTCCCCGCAGGAGGTGTCTCTAGCCATGACTCTATTTCTTTCCTCCTGCTTCCTGAAAGGTCAGCAGTAAGAGACACAGATGTGTCTCCAACCCTCTTGAAGACAGTTTCAGAGAGTTGAGAAACAGAAAAGGGCTTTTAGGGGAAAAAATATGGTTAGACAGCCTGTAAGTAAATAAAGAAATACATGACCTCCTTTTTGTGCCCACAGGCTGTTGTCTGCCATCCTCAGAGTTTCAGAAGTTGAGTCTCGGGCAATAAGGGCTGACCTCACACACCTGCTAAGCCCTCAGATGGGCAAAGACATTGTCTGGTTTCTAAAGCGTTGGGCAAAGACTTACCTCCTGGTGGATGAGAAGCTGTACGATCAGGTCAGAATGTGGCACTGCTTGACTGGGTTTGCGTTTATGAGGATGGGAGTTAGAGAAATGAGAACAATTTTCTTGGTGATTTTCTTATCAGCATGTGAGTAATAGCCAAGCATCTTCCACACTGTGTGGACAGCGTGCTGTTTTATTAACTTTTCCTAGAGTGCATCATGTGATTCTGCATACTTTAAGCTCTGTGAAGTTCAGAATACTATTTAGGAATGGATTAATTTACATTCTCTGCATTTGATGTAAATACCTGCCTGTGTTCCTGTTAGGAGAATAGTTAATGCTAACAGAGAAGCCACAGTGGGGAACATCTGTGGGTTAAGAGTTGTCCTGTCTGGACTTCAGGAAATGAATACCTATAGAAAATTGGTGCGAGGTACTTCAGGTTTAGTGCTAATTTCAGTTTGATTTCTCTGTGGGTTTTTCTTCCTTTCTTTTTCAGCAGATCTTTCTGACCTTAAAACATTTGTTTTCTCTCTGAAGATAAGTGTGCCGTTCAGCACAGCGTTTGGAGCAGACACAGAGGGCTCTCAGTGGATTGTTGGCTACCTCTTACAGAAGGTCCTGAACAACCTCTCGGTGTGCAGCAGCGAGCAGGGCCTCGCGGACGACACAGTTCAGCTGCTTGTCACGCTGGTGGAGAGAAGGGAGAGGTGAGCAGATGCTGACCTCAGGCACTGCCGTCTGAGCTCCGCCTGTCAGGTCAGGAGAGACTTTCCCACTGACGGACAGTCACCCGGTCCTGAGGTCCAGGGAGACCCTGTAGTTTTGGAGCAGTGTTTAAAACGGGTGCCACCCCTTGGGCCATTGACGGGTACTGTCCATGTCCTGTTGGGAACCTGGCTGCCCAGCAGGAGGTGAGCGGGCTTCATCTATATTTACAGCCGCTCTCCATTGTTGGCACGGATGCCTGAGCTCCGCCTCCTGTCAGATGAGGGGGCAGGAGCACAAGTGAGATATGCTTGAATCATCCGCAAACCACCCCCACACCCCTCCCCTGTCCATGGGAAAATGGTCTTCCACGAAACTGGTCCCTAGTGCCAAAATGGTTAGGCACTGCTGCTTTAGAAAATGTATTAAACTGTTGGTACAAGTGCAGAGAGGTCTCTCCCACATTAGGAGTAGAGTGGTCTAATTTGAATTTTCAGGTATCCCATTAGTATTACTTCATTTTACAGATGAGAAAAGCTGGTAATTTAACAATTACTTTAATTTTACAGAATAAAATTTTTAGTGTGTTCTACAACAAATTCTGCCAATGTTTTCAGTTTTCTTACTCCGTGGGTCCGTGGTTGTGGTTACTCCTGTCTTTGGCTGCTGTTTGTTGAGTTCTCACAGTTTACCAGGTGCTGCTCCTGACTTTGCACATGCGGCATCTGCACGTCCCATCAGTCTCAGTCATGAGGTTCAGAGCTGTTATTCTTGTTATCTTTATTTTACAGATGAGGAAGCTGGTAATTAAGGGAGATTAAATAAATTTTACCTTGACAAACGGCTAATTGGGTTTGAATACAAGACTTCCAAGTCTGTACCAAGTTTACCATGCTGGACTTGAAAAAGTAGTTAAATCCAGTTGTTTTCCACTTTTATTACTGCGTGTCCATGCAGGGTAAGTAAGTAATGCATCTTATGTCTGTCCTTTCTTCCTACAGGGCAAACTTAGTCATTCAGTGTGAAAACTGGTGGAACTTAGCCAAGCAGTTTGCAAGCCGAAGCCCACCTCTGAACTTCTTGTCCAGCCCTGTGCAGAGGACGCTGATGAAGGCACTTGTCTTGGGAGGGTTTGCACACATGGACACAGAAACCAAGCAGCAGTACTGGACAGAGGTAACGGCCCCCCTTATCTGCATGTCATCTCTGTGTCGCCCATGAAGTGAAAGGGAAAGTTGGTCAGTCGTGTCTGACTCTGCAACCCATGGACTATACAATCCATAGAATTCTCCAGGCCAGAATACTGGGGTGGGTAGCCATTCCCTTCTCCAGGGGATCTTCCCAACCCAGGGATCAAACCCATGTCTCCCACATTGCAGGCAGCTCTTTACCAGCTTGTGCTACCAGGGAAGCCCTGGTGTCTCAGTGTCCACCAGGGAAGCCTTGTTACCTGTGGGGGTTCTGAAATAGCCCTGTTTCCAAATAAGGTCGTGTTCTGAGGTGCTAGGGGTTCAGACATCAGCATTTCCATTTGGGGGGATATAATTCAACCCATGGGCTTCCCAGGTGGTGCAGTGGTAAAGAATCCAGCTGCCGATTCAGGAGACCTATGTTTGATTCCTGGGTTGGAACAATCCCCTGGAGGAGGAAATGGCAACCCACCCCAGTATTCTTGTCTGGGACATTCCATGAACAGAGGAACCTGGCGGGCTGCAGTTTGAGGCTGTGAAGAGTTGGACACATGACTGAGCACAACTCGGATGCAATTCAACCCATAGCAGCCTCCCTGGACACAGTGTCTTACATAAGAAGGTTTCAGCTGGCACTGACAGACTGAGAGTCTGTCATCTCTGTGATTGGATGCTCTCAGTGCTTGAGAAAGGGCACAAGAACAGAAATAGGCAATGGTCTGGTTTTAGAACCGGATTGAAAACCAGCCCAGTCCCATGTGTTCTATTTAAATTTATTATTGTATGTGCAGCTTTAAATAGTATTAAGACATCCTCTTCATGGTTACTTATATTTACTTGTACCCAGGGCAGGCCTCAGTATCTGGAGTTATGGTCTGTGCCAAGAGGAGTTGGGAAGGAAGGAGACAGACTCAGAGCTTATTGGTCTTCACCCATAGGACAGAGGTTGGCCTGCAGCCTGCAGGCCAAATCTGACTGCTGTCTGATTTTATAAATAAAGTTTTATTGAAATACAGTCACGCTTAATCAGTTATATCTTTTCCTTGGCTACTTCTGCACTACAGTGAAATCATAACTGAGTAGTTAGGCCAGAGATAGTTTGTCCTGTGAAGTCTAAAATAGCTACACTCTGGCCCCTTTATAAAGTATCTTTTTTTCCCCCTAATTGAAAAGAGATGAGAATAGTAGCTGAATTCTGTGAATGGCATTGAGGAAGTCATGGTTTTTTTCTTCTCAAATTACTGAAGGAAGTAAGATGATCACATGGACTTACATGCATTTTCATAAACATTAACTTCTTTATTTCAGTTTTACTGGGACGTGATTGACATACATCACTGTATAACTTTAAGGTTTGCAGCATAATGGTTTAAGTTACATATGTTGTGAAGTGGATTGCTGCAGTAAGTTTAGTTAGCATCCATCATCTCATGGCTAATGAAAAAGAAGAAGCAATTAAAGAACATTTATTTTCTTGTGATGACAACTCCTGAGATTGCCTCTCTTAACCTTCCCACATCTCCTACAGCAGTGGTTAACTGTAGTCGAGTCATGTATGTTATACCCCCAGTGCTTGCTTTAACAGGAAGTTTGTGCTTTTGACCGTCTTCCTCCCTCCATGAATGAATGGCATGATTTCCTTGTCCTTATGGCCAAGTAATATTCCACTGGGTGTATGTACCTCACCTTCTTTACCCATTCATCTGTCGGTGGACACTTTAGTTGCTGCCTCATCTTGGCTGTTTTAAGTGGTGCTGCTGTGAATATTGGGTGCGTGTATCTTTTTGAATTAGTGTTTCTTTTTTCAGATAAATACCCAAGGTGGAATGACTGGATCATGTGGTAATTCTAATTTTAATTTTTTGAGGAACCGCCATACTGTTTCCATAGTGGCCGCACCAACTCGAGTTCCCACTGACAGTGCATGGAGGTTCCCTTTCCTCCACATCCTCACCGGCTCTTGTTTCTTGTCTTTTTGAGGATGGCCACTCTGACAGGTGTGAGGTATTTCACAGAGTTTTGACTTGGTTTTCCTGTTGCCTTATCATGTGAGCACCTTTCCATGTGCCGCTGGGTGATTCGTTTGCCAGAAGTTAGGGTCACCTTTGTTTTCTGCGCTTTTTTGCCTCCAACAATTAGAAATGTGGTGGAAAGTGAGTATTTGTCCAAATTGAAAAAACTTGTGAGTCATACGTTTAGAAAACTCATGCTTTATTTTCTAGGTTCTTCAGCCGCTTCAGCAGCGGTTCTTGAGAGTGATAAACCAGGAGAACTTCCCACAGACATGCCAGCAGGAGGAGGTGAAGCAGGAGATCACGGCCACGCTGGAGGCCCTGTGCGGCATTGCTGAGGCCACCCAGGTGGACAATGTGGCCATCCTTTTTAACTTTCTTATGGACTTCCTTACCAATTGCATTGGGTTGATGGAAGTTTACAAAAACACGCCAGAGACAGTCAACCTCATTATAGAAGTTTTTGTTGAAGTTGCACATAAGCAGATATGCTATCTTGGAGAGGTGAGTCGTTGGTCCCTTCCAGATCATAGTTCCTGAGAGCTGTGTAACAGGGTAACAGACCCTTCCCACTGAGTGAACAATTATTTGAAATAATACTCTTGTGCCCCCAAAGCATTGTTCAAAAAAATTATTTTCAAAAGAGTTCAGAGGATGGCTCATGGAGTGAATGTAAATTCTTGCCCTAAAAACGTTAATCATCAGTCATTTCTTTTGACTAGTATTTTACTCCTTATTCAGATGAAGACTATTTGATAAAACAGTTGGATTATGGTAGAAAATTGTAACCAAGTTCTCTGTGGTAGAACCCTAGGACTTAGAATCTTAGGTGGCGATTTGTGTCTTTGTTTTGTAATCAGATGAATGTTTAGACTGACTAAGTTCTTTTATATTCAGTCAGCAAAGATGTTCCCAATTTGTGTTTTGTTGTTGTTGCTGTTAGATCAAAGTGGTGGTTTAGTCGCTTAGTCGTGGCTGACTCTTTGCGACCCCACGGGCTGTAGCCTGCCAGGCTCCTCTGTGGGATTCTCCAAGCAAGAATACTGGAGTGGGTTGCCATTTCCTTTTCCATTAGATCAAAGGAAACTGCTCAGAAGTGAGGTTTCATTTTGTAAATGGTGTTAAGTGTCATCACAGTTGCATTGTTCAGTGGTTAGGCCAGGGCTGTTTATTCTAAGGTTTGGTACTCTGTGCTTCTGCAAGTTAAACCATTTTCAATCTTAAAATAAAACTTGTCATACAAGAAGTTGAAGTAGTAAAGCAGTTCTGTTGCCAAAATCATACTGTCTTTCTCGTATGTATTATCAGATTCACACAAAGTGTCAAATTTTATGTTAGACTACTAATACTTTAAATGCAACTGTAGTCTTATGTTTTTCCATTTTTATTAATGCTTCAATATAATTTAAAACAAATGTTAGAGCAACTATCAGAATTTAGAGTGAATTTATTATATCCGAATTTAAATGTTCTTTGATATTTATGTTTATTTCCCAGCCAGGTTCTCCCTCGTAGCATAACCTCTGCCTGCTTTTTTCCAGTCCAAAGCCATGAACTTGTATGAAGCCTGCCTCACTCTGCTGCAAGTGTATTCAAAGAATAACTTGGGGCGGCAGAGAATCGATGTCACAGCTGAGGAGGAGCAGTACCAGGACCTTCTGCTCATCATGGAGCTTCTGACCAACCTTCTGTCCAAAGAGTTCATAGATTTCAGCGACACAGGTAACGTGTGTGAGGCTTTGGTGTGGCCTCCCTGGGAAGCTCCGTTCACATGGTAGGCAGAGTTGGTCTCTGTGGCTGTGGGGGCGGGGCGGGGGGCCCAGTGCTTTCTGTGCCGGGCTCTCCTCTTCCGGGGCGGCAGTGCTGGTGTCTGCCCTTCATGAGGTTCCGGTCGGTGCCAGGCATGCTCCTGTCCAGCAGCATGAGGCTGGTACCACTGCTCACTCACATGAGAGAGGAGGAAACGGCACGGAGAGGCTGTGCCACTTGCCCAGTGGTGCACAGGTAGCAGGGCTGGTGCTCACATCCCTGCATGGGACTCCAGAGGCCATTGTCTACAGAGTTAGTTTAATTGACTCGCTCCTCTGTATCCTCTGCGGTATGCCTAGGGAGCCCGAGCCCTTGGTCAGTGCGGCTTGGGAGCCACTGAAGTTGGGCGCTGGCACACCACTCTGAAGCCCTGCGCTGGGGCCTCCCCACCAGCAGGACCTGGGGGAAGTCTATTAGCTCTGCTGGGCCTCCCTCACTATAGAGGGGGTGTGATGGTCAGTGCCTGTCTAGTCAGGTGGGTTTCAGGTGGGTTAACGATGAGCTGCAAGGTACTTCTGGTACCTGTTCTCATCACTTGCGGTCTCGTCACCTCCACTGACACAGGCCAGTGCATCTGGGTGATTTGACCTCGTGGGTACTGCTGTCTCCTCTTCTCAGAAACCTCCCACCCCCTGGGCTCAGCACACCTGATACTGGACACTGTTCTTTGCACTGGTTACTTTCCTGTCCACTCGCCAGCGGTTTCTGGCAGTCTCTGCCCTGTGTCAGGGCCCCGAGATGACGGACCTCCACTGCCCACTGTCTCCAGGCCTGGCTGCTCACATGGGTGTCGGTCCTGGGGTTCCTGATTCCTTCAGGCTGGCACTGCGTCACCTTTCCTAGATCAGGTGACCCTGTAACGCCTCAAGCTGTTCTGACCTTTCCCTTGAAGGGTGTGTGTGACACGACTTGCTGAGGTTCGAGCACTGTGCCCATTGGTGTGTGGACATCTGAGGGGAGTGTGGACCATAGTACGCAAGCCCTGAGCCCTGACTGGAGTTGAGAAGTTGGGAGGAACAGAGAGCTTTGTGTGAAGGGCATTCGGAGGGGCCAGAAGACCCCAGGAGTGAGCCATGGAAAAGAGGTTATGGGTCACTGTGGACAGGCAGGTTTTCAGAATAAAAAAGCAAAAGGATTAAAATAATTTTAACATGTTAGAAAAGAAATTGAGGCCAAAATGCTCAGGATTGAAAGTATAAAATAAGGGTAAAAAGAATAGAGTAAAGGTGAGTAGAGTTGAAATCTAGAAGAAAAAAAATGAAGACAGTTAAAGTACAAAATGAAAAAGCAGCAGCATTAGCTGATAAAACAGATGGTAAAATTAGAATGTTTTTAAGTGATTATTTTAAAAATAAAGGTAATAGGTGAGATAGAAAATATTTTAATATTATGAAATAAAATTAATAACACACTGGGTGAGATATCAAAGCACATTTGAAAGTGAGCCTCTGAGCGACGTTCCTGGGGGAACCGGCGGCTGCAGAGCCAAGTGCCACAGTCAGGGCCCAGAGCCTGTCCCGTGAACAGGTGCGGGGCGCGGGGAGCCCCACGAGCAGCCCAGGCTTCCTGCCAGTGGGACTGAGGTTCAGCAGTGCCCGACTGTGGACAGTAGGATCCTCCCAGCTAGAGCTGAGCCTCTGGAGAGAAGGACAGAATTACACTGAAAACATGGTTTTTAAGTAGAGGTAGGTTTTTTTTTTTTTAACCCCATTTTTTTTTTCCCTCCTTGTTGTGAGTGTAATATCTCATAGTAGAAAAGATGTGAAGTATATGGACCGAAAACCACCCATACTTTGACTTAATCCAGAGTCAGCTGTTTCAGTTGCTTTTTGTTAATTTCTCTTTAGGTTATTTTGTAAAATTTTTTTTGTGGTCATAGTCCAAATTAATTTTATATTCTGCCTTTTTCATTGTTAGCTTTTCCCTTGTCTTTAACACATCTCATGACTTTCTCATGAACTCAACCTGTTTTCCTAATATTGAACATTTGAAATACAGTTTCTTAGATGTTTATTTGTGGATTTTGGTCCTTTATCTATCTAGGTCTTAGGAGTCTTAGTAATTTATGCCTCATTTTTGGATTAAGAATAATAATTCTTTGTCATATTGGCAACTTAAAAAAAAAACCCTCTATTTTACGTAATATTCCAGTATTTTTCTCCCTTCCTTTTCAGCTTAGAAAAATCCCACGTACGTAGGAGAAAAATGAATATTGCTACGGAAATAATTTACTCCATAATATGACCATTGTGTCAGTGGAGTCACCATTACTTTTCAAAAAACGTTGATGAAGCACTAGTTTTACTTTCATCACTGTAGAATGATAATGTCAGCACAGAATACCTGCACCCAGTGCTCAGACCCTTAGAGCGAAACAGGAAAGGAGGACCTGGGTGTCTGTGTCATCCTCCCGTGGATTTGTTTTGTCCTAGGGCGTGACTCCACTTTCACTGTCAGGCGGGAGAGCATATCTGTCTGTTGATGTTGCAGCTGTAAGACTGCTTTGTTGTCACATTGCAGATGAAGTGTTCAGAGGTCAGGAGCCTGGGCCGGCAGCGAGCAGATCTGTGTCGGCGGCGGATGTTGTGTTATATGGAGTGAACCTGATCCTGCCTTTGATGTCACAGGACCTCTTGAAGGCACGTGAAGAGAGGAATGTCAACGTTGAAACCATGCGTGCTTGAACGTGAAGGTTCAGGATACTTGGGACACAAGTGCATGTCTGATTTAATTAAGGGGCCAGTACCTGTGAAGTGTGTGTGAAAACAGCCTGTGTGTTGCTATGCTGTGTCCTTCACACCTGGGCCTGCCCCAGCCCTGTGCCCATTGGTCCCTCGGTGGCAGGGAAAGACTGGGTCTTCTAGAGACCGAATGCTAGTGTTCGCTGGTCACTTGTGTTCAGCAGATACAGTACGTTGTGTGTGTGTGGTTGTACATGTAGATGTGTCCTCTGGTACTTCCCCAGCACATGCCCAGGCTGAGGGGCTGGGCATCAGGGTCCATTTCGGCCGCTCCCGGACAAACAGGTGGAGAGAGCAGGGCTAACTCAGCTGGTCATGCTCCCTGTCTGACTGCACTGGGCCTTGTCTCCTCTCACCAGTCTGTGTGGAGGGTGTGCTGGTGATGAGGCCTCACACCCCTTCTGCCCCGCCCACCCCAGAACCATCCAGGAGTAGGAGGGAGAGGAAGAGGGGGCTGGGTGCTACACAGAATGCGGGGGACAGGCAGACCCTGAGGAGCGTGTGTATACACAGAATGTGGGGCAGAGCCTGAGGGGCGTGTGTACACACAATGGGGGGAGACCCTGAGGAGCATGTGCTACACAGAATGGGGGGACACCTTGAGGAGTGTGTGTGTACACAGAATGGTGGGGGAGACCCTGAGGAGTGTGTGTGTACACAGAATGGTGGGGGAGACCCTGAGGAGTGTGTGTGTACACAGAATGGTGGGGGAGACCCTGAGGAGTGTGTGTGTACACAGAATGGTGGGGGAGACCCTGAGGAGTGTGTTTGTACACAGAATGGTGGGGGAGACCCTGAGGAGTGTGTGTGTACACAGAATGGTGGGGGAGACCCTGAGGAGTGTGTGTGTACACAGAATGGTGGGGGAGACCCTGAGGAGTGTGTGTGTACACAGAATGGGTGTGGAGGGAGACCCTGAGGAGTGTGTGTGTACACAGAATGGTGGGGGAGACCCTGAGGAGTGTGTGTGTACACAGAATGGGTGTGGAGGGAGACCCTGAGGAGTGTGTGTGTACACAGAATGGTGGGGGAGACCCCGAGGAGTGTGTGTGTATACAGAATGGTGGGGGAGACCCCGAGGAGTGTGTGTGTACACAGAATGGTGGGGGAGACCCTGAGGAGTGTGTGTGTACACAGAATGGTGGGGGAGACCCTGAGGAGTGTGTGTGTACACAGAATGGTGGGGGAGACCCTGAGGAGTGTGTGTGTACACAGAATGGTGGGGGAGACCCTGAGGAGTGTGTGTGTACACAGAATGGTGGGGGAGACCCTGAGGAGTGTGTGTGTACACAGAATGGTGGGGGAGACCCTGAGGAGTGTGTGTGTACACAGAATGGTGGGGGAGACCCTGAGGAGTGTGTTTGTATACAGAATGGTGGGGGAGACCCTGAGGAGTGTGTGTGTACACAGAATGGTGGGGGAGACCCTGAGGAGTGTGTGTGTACACAGAATGGTGGGGGAGACCCTGAGGAGTGTGTGTGTACACAGAATGGGTGTGGAGGGAGACCCTGAGGAGTGTGTGTGTACACAGAATGGTGGGGGAGACCCTGAGGAGTGTGTGTGTACACAGAATGGTGGGGGAGACCCTGAGGAGTGTGTGTGTACACAGAATGGGTGTGGAGGGAGACCCTGAGGAGTGTGTGTGTACACAGAATGGTGGGGGAGACCCCGAGGAGTGTGTGTGTATACAGAATGGTGGGGGAGACCCCGAGGAGTGTGTGTGTACACAGAATGGTGGGGGAGACCCTGAGGAGTGTGTGTGTACACAGAATGGTGGGGGAGACCCCGAGGAGTGTGTGTGTACACAGAATGGGTGTGGAGGGAGACCCTGAGGGGCGTGTGCAGTTGAGGGTCAGGGTGAGGGTTGTTAGTTCCCAGCACAGGATCCATTAGTTCCTAACATACTCGCTTTATTGTAACTTTTTTTAAACATCTTATTTGTGTCTTTGTGTTTTCTGTATCCTATATGCGTTTTAAACAAACCATTAGAAGCTTGGTGCTTAATGCTTTATTCCACTAATGAAAACAGGTATTGAACATCTAAATATTTAATATTTCTTTTTCAGTTTCCAACTCTGTGTAATCAATACTACAAATTAATCACATTTATCTGTGAGATTTTTCCTGAGAAAATACCACAGCTTCCTGAAGATCTTTTTAAAAGTCTGATGTACTCCCTGGAACTAGGAATGACATCATATCCTTTAAATGTGTGTCGTGAGCACTTGGCACTGGGGAAAGACAGTGCTTGAAGAAGCATTTTCAGGAGTTGTATTTTTCCTTTTGTTGTTCAGTCTTATTTCTTGAAAAGCAGCGTCACTTAGCTACAATGATGCTGTGTTTCTTCATGAATTTGCCTCACCTTGGCTTCCTTTCGCAGATCCCAGGGTCTCTGGTCCCTGGTCCCAGAGTCCTGTCTGACAGAGCCCAGTCAGTGGAGCTGGGCCCTGTTGCTGGCCTCTGATCTTAGCCCTACTCGGTTGTGTGCATTGCAGTCAGAGCACATGGAGAGCCCTAGTCCTGGGCCCCATGCGGGCAGGCTGGGACACAGTGGGGAATTCTCGTCTCTCACCTCACTCAGCAGACTCCCATGTACTCACTTCAGTGCGCTCACTTCTAGAACAGCCGTCCACTGGCTGACAGCTCTAAGTGTTGTGTTCTGAGTCACGGCTCTCTGTGCTCGTTGTTCTTTGACCGTGGTGATCAGAATGAGTTCGGAGGTTTGCCAGCTGTGCCTGGAAGCTTTGACTCCATTAGCTGAGCAGTGTGCAAAAGCCCAGGAGACGGATGCGCCCCTCTTCCTGGCCACGCGGCACTTCCTCAAGGTGAGGCTCTGGGCCTTCCTGCCAGGCGGTTCTGATGGCTTTGTCCCTGACAAGGCTGTCTTTCTTTCCACTGCAGTTTCTGGAGCTCAGCTTCCTAGCTTCCTCGGATACCACTCCTCTGTCGCTTTGTGTTCTTGAAATTCCACATGGTGACTACCAGGATTCGATAATCAGATAACTTTATTTACTACAGCAAGCAGTAACATCTTCACGTTTGTCCTTGGGTTTTTAGAAAACCATTTTCTTTACTTTTTAGAGTTACTTAATAAATAAGAATAACTACCACCTTCTTTTTCCCTCTTGGAATGGGGAGGGACTGAAGGGTGGTACGGTCATCCCATGTCTTTATTGAGAGGTGTTGCTCTGTCTTTCAGCTGGTGTTTGATATGCTGGTTTTGCAGAAGCACAGCACGGAGATGACCACTGCGGCCGGTGAGGCCTTCTACACGCTGGTGTGCCTGCATCAGGTACTGGTGTGTCCCTGGGCCTCTCCTGGCTTATGAGGCGGGGGTGGGGGTGTTGGACAGATGGGCTGCTTGTTCTCAGGGACTGGGCGTTCATGCGTCTGCTCCTTCCTTGAAGCCTTGTTCTCAGTAGCTCAGGCATTCTCTGTATTTATCTGACAAACTGTTCATAAGTAGTTACTTTCCCTTCTCCACTGTCATGACCATCCTTTGCTTGATGGCTACCCTAAAACTTGTCTTGAACACCTGTGCTGGAAGACACGGTCTCTGTCCTTGAGAAACTCAGTTTTGCAAGGAAATGAGATACAGGAGCCTCGGAATCCCGAGGAGTCTGCCCCCAGGAAGCCTGGAAAGCCACAGTGTGTTGTCTCCTAGGACAGGGTGGACAGCTGTGGGCGGTTGGAGCCTAGAGGGCATGTGCAGTACCCCCTTGACGGGGCGGGGATGGGGGGAGTACAGGGGTTTGACTGGCCTGCCCATTTTCCACAGCGCCCTGTCCCCCTTCCCAGTGGGGAGGTGCCTGTGGGTGTGGGGAAGGTACAGAGGCTGTGCATTTGCTGGGCCTGGGACCCAGGGTAGGTTTTGAAGAGCCTCACATGCTACTTAAAGACTACCTTCCTGCAGCACCTGGCTCCAGGGGGCTCAGGGACTCCTCACCTCTGCCATGCGTGGTGCCCAGCTCGGGGGAGGGGTGCTCCTCCATCACCTACTTCCTTCCCTCCACCGTCTTTCCTCCACCCCTGGACATAAGCCATTACATCTTGGTGGCCTTTTAGAAAACACAGGCACACGTTGTAGAAAAGAGGGCAGGGCCTCAGGCTTGGCTGGTCTGGCCCCAGAGCCACTGCTATTCCTGTGACTGGGGAAGTTGACGTGTGTGTGTGTGCACGCGCACGCGCACTCTCTCATGTCATTGTGTGTATGTGTACACTCAATCCCTGTGCACAGGCCTGCCTCCTGGGGACAGTTAGGCCAGCTCCATGCTGGGGCGTGGGGTGGGGTGTGTGCCTCACTCCTCTTTGTCCAGATGGGTTTAGCATCTGGCCTCCCCGCTTTGGTTCATGATGTCCTGAGAAACTCAGGAGAAGGAGTAAAAGCAGCTTTTTTCATGGCGCTTATCTTAGAAAGCTGCCCTGCGTGCGTTCCCTTAACCCACACCCTGTTGGCTGTGCCAGGCTTTATTGTGGAGGGCGTCATGGGTAGGGAAGCCATTCCCACTACCGTCCCATGCCACTGAGCCTGGAGCACACCTCCCTTCTGCTACAAGGGAGGCAGGGCCATGCCCCTCTCCGCCCCCCGCCCAGCTTCTGTTTGCACTTTGTGCATGCGCTGTTGTTGCTGTGTGGGTAGGATTTCTGCATCGACCTCGAGGAAACCTGGGAGTCAGCTTGAAGACATAGGGCCCAGGAGTCCACCATAAATCTACCCACCAAGAGTATCGTAAAATGCAAAAAAAAAAGTGCTTTGAAACAGCAGGGAGAGGTGGCGGCACAAGGTAGGTGATCCTTTGGGCTCTGGACGCGGGTTCTTGGATAAAGGCCTCTGGTCTTGGGTATGTCCTCGACTCTCTTTGTGGAGAGCTTTTGTCTGTAAAGCAGGGGTGTCAACAGAGTCTGCCTCACAGGCTTGTTACACAGCAGTGAGTTACCGGTGGAAAAGCTCAGAGCAGGAAGTGTCAAGGATCAGAAGAGCTGCTGGCCTGCCTTTTGGACACTGCAGCCCACTGATTGGTGTTTTGTGTAATGTCTGAGGATGGTCATGCTCTTATGTACTTATCTTACGGATGCTCTGTGCCCTTCTCTCTTCAACAGGCAGAGTACTCTGAACTGGTGGAAACACTGCTGTCGAGTCAGCAAGACCCAGTCATTTACCAGAGGCTAGCTGATGCCTTCAACAAGTTGACTGCAAGCAGCACGCCCCCTGCCCTGGACCGGAAGCAGAAGATGGCCTTTCTGAAGAGTTTAGAAGAGTTTATGGCAAATGTTGGTGGTCTCCTTTGTGTAAAATAAACAACAGAGCTTTATGCTGTACCAGACCCTTCCTGCGAAGTGCACTGAATTGCTGAAAGTTGACTAGAGTCTTGTCCTGTTCATCAATCCCACAGCCGCTCGGACTCTGGAGAGCCTGCCAGCTCGGGGTGTGATGCGGGGAGAGTCGGCTCAAATCGGCTTCTGCTGTAGGCGTCAGCCGCCGTGCGGCGTAGGGCTTGTACTTTGTCAAATGAAACTCAGTCTGTGTGCAAACACACGTGGGCACCAGGAAGTACATCCCCAGTGCCTTTTCCCTCTTTGACAGAGCATCAGGTGGCCGCCAGCGTCCAGTCTTGTCATTACAAACAGCTGGATGTCTGCTTGGCCACTGGCCGTTGACGGCACATCACCGAGGAGCTGGTTGAAAGGGTAGACCCTGGGGCCCAACCGTGGACCCTCAGAGTTTGTTTGTTGGACCCTGGATTCTTCATTTTAACAAGCTCCTCTCCTTTGCCACCCCGCAGCTGTCAGTCAGTGCGGGAGACACGAACGCTTCTAGCAATGTGCCCCGCCCCCCCCCAACCCGGTCCGGTCCTTCCCTGGGAGGGGCAGGTGCTCCGACCAGAGAAGGGCACCAGGGTGGGTGCCTGTGGCCTCTCGTTACCCCCTGTCTGCTGGGTCACGGCAGCCTGACCACTGCAGGTCCTGTGAACCTGCTCTGATGCCTGAACCAGAGGAGGAAAATGTGTGTTTATTTTTGTTCCATGAAAATAACTTTAGGAACTGTAGCCATTTCATTGCCTTAATTTTCAGAAGAAATTACAAAAAGGAGCAGATTGTTTTAGTAAGAAATCAAGTCTTGACACTTCAGAGGTGGTTTAGAGTGTTGGCTGCTATGAACCCAGGGCCCGTTCGATTGTGTTTTTGTGGTTTTATGGGTGAAATGAAAGGCTCATTCATACCTAGTCTAACTTTCTGAGTACGTTTCTGTTTCTGTCCACCCTTGTGGCCTGTGGCTGATACTCTGCTCTGAATGGCTTGCTTAAGCAATAACTCTTTTTAAGGATGTGAATTGCTGGTTCATACACACACTTAAACGTGGGGATGTCAGAGCAGTAATCACCCTCATTTCACAGGAGCCACATGAACTTAAGAGATTAAAAAGTTCACCTTGATCTCCTTTGATTTTTTAATCGGGATTTGTGTACTGCAGGCGTGTGATCCTAGCCCCTGTGGGTCAGGACCCACAGCACGGTCACAGGACGTGTGCGGTGCAGGGCCCTGCGCTCTGGTCAGTTACAGGCCCCCAGCCTATGCAGGCACCACTGGACACAGAGCAAAGCCTCAGCTTTTTATGGAATGTTCTCTTATTCAATCATGGCTGGTTAACAACTGAGGTGGAACAGAAACATCTCAGAAGACATCTGGGGAAGCTGGTGTCCTCTTCCAGAAGTACATGTATGACCACCTTCCTGAGACACTTGGGACAGTGCATTTACTTTTAGGGTTCTCTTTCCTTCCCTTAGAGAACTTGAAGTCAGAGGCAGCAGGAGTCACTCTGTTTCTGTTTGTGTTGTTCTGGTGTTTCAGTGTCCACGTGTCCTCGGGCCCAGCAGTTGTGATCTAAATACATCCCTGTCCCTCTGCCTAAGGGCACCAAGATGCAGCCGACCGGGCCAGTCCTCTGACTGTGACAAGACTGTACTCAAGTTGTTATTAAAAAAGGAAAGATAAGTGGAAACAACTCTGCCTTGGTAAACAACAGGGCATCTGGACAGAGATGTCTGCTAAATTTGCCCATATTCTGTCATGATACTGTGTTTTCATTAGGAACCATTCAATTGAACTGAAGAGTTTCTTCAGCTTGGACCAAATGGTACTGAAAGTATCATAAGACTGTGGGTTAGTGGCAGACTGGAAGGACGGGCCACCACCATGTCTGGGTGGTCAGAGCCAGGCTCTCTCCAGGCATTTGTGTGTGTCTTTTCCTGGTTGGATACCTGTTTAGCTTGGGTGTTGTGTTTTACTTTGCTATGTTTGTTGGCTTCCCAGTTTTGGAAGGTTTTGTTGTTATGGTCTTGGCTGAGTGGGTGTGAAGAACGCTGGCTTAATTCTAGTAAATTGATTTTTACTGTTAAAACTGTTGTCAAAGGAGTTTTAAAAGCAAAAACATTATTTGTACCCCATTTTTATACATTCAAGGGACACCGTTGGGTATTTGAGTTCCTACATGAGTGTGTTTATACTTTCTCTGGTTCACGGACGGCGTCCTTTCACCTCCGCTGTCAGCTCTCTTTCTCGGGTTTTATTTTCCTCGGCCCTTCTGTGTCTGGAAGTGCAGTCCCCGCGGACTCTGTGTATCTTTGCAGTGTGTATTCCTGTGACAACCTCTGACAAGCGTTAGCAGCTCTGTGGGAAGGACTGGTCAGCGTGCAGGTTCTGTGTGCAGTCCTGGGCGGCTGGCTGCCTGGGGCACACCTGACAGCATCTTTTCAACACTGATTTGGGTCTTCATGGGCTGGGAAATCATGGCATATTTCCAAACTTTGCAGTTTTTTTCAAACTAGTTTTAACAATTTAGTCTTATTTCCTTGTAAACAGTGTTTTTAACTATATTACATTACTCTGTTCAGAGGAGGTGGTTACTACCTTTTTTTTTTTTCTTCACAGCTTGCATTTCAAAACCAAACATCTTTCCCCCAGTCAGCTTTACTTAACTTCCCTTACTGTCTTTGGCTGGATTTTCTCTTCTACCAAAAATGTCAAGTCTTTGTATTTCTGATATGACCACATTCTCCATGTCTGTTAATACTTGTATAAATCCCTCAAGTACTGAAGGAAATGAGTTGTCAGCTTCAAGGATTTCAAGTTTGAGTATCTTAATCTGCAGGGTCTGTTGCACCCTTAAAATATTATTTTCATAATTTTACATGTTTCTGTTTGTCACCTCTGCTGTTAGAGGTGTTGTCATTAGATCTTAGTAATTAGCTGTCTCTGACAATGATTCTTGTTATAAGTTCCTGAATAAAATATTAACTGTTCAGAAGAAGAAACCTCAGTACTTCTTAGGGGTTTTTCATAACCAGAGAATAAGGAACCAATTTGGAATTTGAGTTCTTAATATTATAATTTTCTGTAAATTTCTCTGTAAAACAGCATAGGTGATTTGAGGATATGATAATAATGTTTTAAATTATTTTTAAATGTAAGTGGATATTCTCTGACTTGGTAATAACTATGTTCTGAAAACACTGCATCTAAGAACTCTTTAAAAATTGATATTCTAAAATTTTAAAATATCCAACTTAGGTATATTGCTGAGCTGAAATTAGTTTGAAGTGCTGTAGTTCAAATTGAACTTTAAACATTTTAATTTAGATGTAAGAAATGTGACGTATTCCTGATCAGTTATACTGGGAATCCATGACATTTAGCCAAAGACTGTATTTGGTTCAGGTAAAGATGAAAGCCTAACGATGGGCATCCTCTGTGTCCTGCAGAGGATGGATGACGTCATCTGTTTCTTGTCTCCAGCTCTGTGCACATGAGTCTTTGTAAAGGTGGATGCACGGTGACGGTGAGATGTGGTCCGCATGTCGGCCCCCACGGCTCTCACCCCAAACCATCTATGTCCCGCTTGCCCTCTGTGATCTGCCCTTCACCTGGTCCCAGAGTTTCCAGCATTGGAGAGCTTTTGGCCTTGGATTTTCTTTTCAATCTGTGTTCTTAGGCTCTCAGCTGTTAGGAGCGGTCAGAATGTACTGATGGCTGACTGTCCCAGCTTGACATTCAGCAGTGCGTCTGTGCTCTGTACCTGAGGGGGTGTGCCCCACAGTGTCTCAAGCCAGGCTGCCTGGTGTGGTGTCATCTACCATGTAAGATGGTGACAGATTGCAAATACTGGTATTGTGACTTGGTTCTCTGTACAAAGGAAAAAGCTCCATGCAGTGAGCTTTTTGGCTTCATTTCTGGTTTAATGGTCACAAAATGTTAGCACTGCTACCATTCAGCATGTGTAAAATTTTTTAAATTTATAAATATTAAAATTTTAAACTTATACTGACTTTTCAGTTTTTTTAAGAGACCCAGGAATGAGTATACTGTTTAAATATTCACCTCTATTAACATTATTAATAAAGATATAAAGTTGCATTTAATTTTTCAAAAGATGCTATAGTACAATTCTAGGAATTAAATCAAGGCTGTGTATTGAGCCAGTTATAAGCTGAATATCAAATTGATAAAATTTTATTTGTATTTTTAAATTCATAAATGGGAGTTAAAATGTCTTCACTAAATATTTTTATTACATTTTTGTTTTGATCATGTGTGATTTGTTCATGGGAGTTTAGCTAGACTACCATATGAAACTCACGGAATGGTGCTACTTCACTGACCAGCCAAGCCAAGGGTGACTTGACACTGGGGATGTTACACAGTCAAAATAATTTTAAATAAAAAACATGAGGACATATCTGCACAGTTAAAAATAGGGAGTTGCATTACCTTCTGGGAGAATACCCAACCCTAATATTAATAGAATGTCCAAGATTCAAAGACAAAATCAGAATTTCATTTATATTCTGTTATACTGAGTAGATGTGTTTTTATCTCAGCTCACACTCTTAGAAAGAATTTCAGAGTAATTAGTTAAATCACTGGAGTGGAGGCATATTTGTAGTAAGTGTAGTTGGATCATTGTTCTTGACTTTTCAGGGAAGATGGAAAAGTACCATCTGCTGGTACTTTTTTCTTTCTTTTTTACCTAATCCTAAATCTTGTAGACATATTCAGTGAAAGGTAAAGTTTTTATTTTAAACTTGATATTGCTTTGAATGTTTGTTGATTTCTTAGGTTATGTTGAGATTTAATTCTACTCCAAGGATGGATAAAGAAACATTAGGCTGTTTAGGAATTCAGTGGAGTTCTTTCATTCTCAAGGGGGGGACCTTAACCTGTGTACATCACCTGGCATTTGAGGGAGCTGTAGATGGTCTTAGAGGCCATGAATGTAAAAGTCTGGTGGTGTTTCTTAGATACCATCTTTAAAATCCTAGTGCTCTCTTAAAGTATTGTGTGTTTATAGTGTGTGGTTTATGAATGATGACTTTGGTGAATTAATTAGATTATGAAACATTTTTGTATGTTTCTTAAACATAGGATCTCAGATTGGGTCCTGTGCATTTTCTGTAATCTCAAGTGGTAATTCTTTTAAAACTTAAGTGGAAGCAAAGTGGAAGCAAAGGTATTTGGTGATATCAAGGAAAAAATCTTTTGCTTGGAAACACCATACAATACCAATGGCAGCAAGCACTGTCATTTCTAAAGCACATAAGTCAACATCCTGCTGAACTCTTTCAGTGTAAATTATTTTTAACATCTAGCAAGCGAATGAACTGTGATTAAGGCACTGATGCTTCTCAGAGCTGATAAATGAAAAAAAAAACAAAAACCTGAAGACAGATTTTTGTTTGTTCGTTTGTTTTTTATATGTTGTGGTCTCGCTGTGGAGCATGTGGGATTGGACCCTCGCCCTTGCTTTGGAAGCACAGTCTTGACCTCTGGACTGCCCGGGAAGTCCTGCAGAGAGAGTTTAAAACAGGGACGTGGTAAATACTTTTATTCCTGTAGTAGTTAGCAGTTTTAAGTTTTGGTGGTGTTCACTCTTGATTGCTTTGCCAGGTCAGTTTTCAGATACTCCTCTCAGTAAGCCCTGCCTCTCGGGCTGCAGTTTTATTTGCACAACTGCTTGTAACTGCAGTGCCTGGGATGGTCCTTTCTCAGGACTGACCTGGCGAAGCTGTTGGGACTGGCAGAGTACAGGCTGGAGACATAGACTCAGTCTCTGACTAAGCTTCTTAGGGTTTTCATTGATCACAGGTCTGTCATGTGTATCACAGGGCCACACAAAAGGAGTAATTCCTGAATTGAGGTTGATTTGAACGTATCTTTCTAGTCCAGTTTACTTGACGAGTAGCTTCCCTTTATTTATTTATTGGCCACGTGGCTTGTGGGATCTCAGTTCCCTGACTAGAGATTGAACCCAGGGCCTCAGCAGTGAAAGCACTGCATCCTGATCACTGGGCTGCCAAGGGAATTCCTGCAATTTCTTTCCCCTTTGTTTCAATGATAATAAAACTGCCTCTTGGTATCTTAAATTTTTTTTTATGATTTGCAAAAGCTATTAAATTAATGCAAGCGTTTCAGCTGGAAGAGTTTAATCTTTATTATGTGACATGCTGTCTTAGCAGTCAGCACTGTTGGTGGAGGTGAAACTATCTGAACTTCTGACAACTGTGGTCACTTTAATTATAAAAATAACAGTAATACACATTAAATGGCAGATAACTATTGTCTCACGGTGAAAGCAGTTGAAACTTTGAAAGCTTAAAATATTATAGATCTGTTTAATCCAAAAATAACTTGCTTTAACATAAATAAGCCTTTCTGCTGAATAAGCCAAGGCAGTGTGTCCTATGTATGGAACACTACTACCTCTGTAAAAAATATACTGCCATAAAAGTCGGTTATTGTCTCTCGGTTCATATTTATTCTTTTAGCTTGATGTATATGTATTCTTTCCTGCTGCTTTCCTAAATTATAGCTCGTTTTGACATATCCGGCTTAGTGGACTTGTCATCCAAGCAATCAAAGAAAAAAATGAAAGCATGGTTTGCCCTAAGCTTGGGGGCCGTATTTAAAGTGGAAATTACGGTATTCCCACAGTGACAAACCTGTTTTTAATTTATATCCTCACCTTATAACTAGAAAGGATTAAAGGTATTCAACAGAAGGTAACGTGGGAAGATGATGGAATTGGTAAGGAGGATGAGGGGAAGGCAGGCAAGGATGCTGCATGGATTGGTGGCCCGGGGGGAGGACAGTCAGGACACTGCTCGGGGTCTGCAAGCGCCTCCTGTCAGCACGCAGGCGTCGGCTCCCACCCATGAGTCGCTGCACACAGTGCTGCTGCTTCATGAGGGGAGGGCATGCCCAGCTTGTAGGTGGTCTCAGCACGGGGACCGCATCTTCGGATCCCCGGAGCCCTAGGTGTCAGGCGAGGGTCTACCGTGGCTCCGGCAGACGCACCGCGGAGGGGCCCATGTGCGGGGTTTTAAAGGCCTCTAACGCAGGGGTTAGGGCTTCCCTGGTGGCACAGGGGTTAAAACGTCTGACTCCAGTGCGTAAGACCCGGGTTCGATCCCTGGGTTGGGAAGATCCCATGGAGAAGGAAATGGTAACCCACTCCAGTATTCTTGCCTGGAGAATCCCATGGACGGAAGAGCCTGGTGGGCTACAGTCCACGGGGTCGCAAAGAGTCTGACACGACTGAGTGACTTCACTTAAACGCAGCGGTGGCGCGAAGCCTCGGTCTGTATATTTCCATTAGACGGAGGAGACGGAACAGACGGGGCCTTGCTGCTTGTGAAACACACAATGAAGTGCAAAAGGCAGGTCTCTTGGTGCGCGTTAAAACCTGCAGAGTCTGCTGCCCCTGTCCTCGAGGACACGTGCTCAGCCCCGCAGCTCCTGGTTCCAGGCGGCCCTGCACGCGGCGGGGGGCCCAAGGGCCTCTGGGAGCGCTCGTCTGCGCGTGCGCGGACCGGGCCGGCCCGCAGCCCCGCCCACGGCCACGGCCTCCCAACCCGCCCCGCGGGACTGCTGTGCTGGCGCGGACGCGTCCCCGCGCACGCTTCCGGCCTGGCGTCGCATTGCGCACGCGCAGACGCAGTCGGCTGCCCGACCAGGCCCCGCGGGCTACGGAGCACGCGTGGACTCGAGCGGCGAGCCGGGTGAGCAGCCCGCGCCGACTCCGCAGGCCTCCGCTCGTCCGCGTCTCCCGACACAGCCAGGGTAGAGGCTCTGGTCCGCGGGGCCGGGCGGAAGGGGTTGGGAGGGGCTGCCGTGTCGGGTGCTCTCAGGGCGGCTGCCGGGCCGGGCTCGGGCGCGTGGAGCCGCGCTTCAGCGGGTGTCTCAGCGTGTGGAGTAACGGCCGTCTCCAAGGTGTTGGGGGTAGGATGGGGCGGCGTCCGGCGGTGCGGTTCCGTCCGGCGGAGGCGGTTCCGGTTGTGGGGGCAGCCGGTGGGCGTGGGCCGTGTGCGTGTGGACACCGGGCGCGCGGGCGGCGTCGGTTCTGTGGAGGGTCACGGGAGAGCCTGCCGGCCACGGCCGCCGAGCCCGCGTCCCCGTAGAGGCCCGGATGCTGGAAATACGGACAGTTTTGAGATCCACCCTCCACAGGAGGTTTTTTTTTTTTGTCAGCCATGCAAGTAGTTTTCTTGAGCTCCCCGTCGGAATTATTTGCTTTGAAGTTAAAGGCAACTGTTTTGTTTTCATGTTTTTATTTCTAAATAATTAGCTAACAGATTTCAGGTTGCAAATTGAAAGCCATTCTCCATCCACAAATGCAGCTGTGGAAACATCCTTATGCATTCATATGTGTACATAGGAAAGTATGTGAACTTGCGCACTTTTCCTTGCCCTTCAGCTCTTCCAGGCCCTGTCTTCATGCAGCTGGAATCAGGAACCGACTGTACCTGCAGTCTCGCAGGAGACGTTGGATTTTAATATTTGCTAAAGTGGTGTTGCTTGTTTTTTATCTTAGCATTTGCTGTTGGCAGCTGCCAAGGCGTGTGTATTGTTTTCCCCCACTCCCACGAGTAATCTGTGGCTCCTTCTCTGGCCAGTGAACATGATGGCAGGACTGGGAGATAATTTAGACTTTCTGCCCTTGACAGAGCTTCCTAAAAGGGAAGGAGAGAAAGCCACCCGCCTTTGCTTTACCTTGAATGAACGCACACTAGGCTATTAGGTAGGGATGCTCCCAGGAGATCGTAAGCGTTGTGAAGTAAGACCATCCTGAGCAAATGTTGATGGCCCCCCATCACCTCTGCTGAACTGATGTGGTCTCTGGGAGACAGGTGGGCACCCTGGAAATACCTCAGATTTTCCACCGAGGCTCTGAATATGCACAAGCAGCTACTCAGTGTGACCATTTCACATTTATACATGTGCTGCCTTGGAGTGTATGATCCAGTTTTCTGGGGGTGAAAGGTTTCATATTATCTGGGGTCTTTGATCAGAGTAGCTTGAGTGAGTTGAAGAAATTACATTATCTACAAACATTATTTCCAAACCTACAGAAAGGGGTAAAGTTTTTTTAATTTTTTAATACAATTTTAAGAATTATTTTAGCCTTGAGCGCAGTCTGTGTTTGTTCATGTTTGGCTGTGTCAGGGCTCAGTTGCTGCGTTTGGGATCTTGTGTCATATTTAGCTGCAGCATGGGATGTCTTAACTGCAACATGTGAGATCTAGTTCCCCAACCAAGGATCAGACCTGGGCCCCCTGCATTGGGAGCACGGAGTCTTAGCCACTGGACCACTGGGGAAGTCCCAAAAGGGGGTAATTTTTTTGATAGGTATGTTCCTCCCTGGAGCATATTAAGTTTACCTAAGATGTGTAAAGCTGTTCAAAGAAAATTGAACTGTCGTCGTACTAGACAAATTCAGCTTGACCCAAAGCTGGCACAGTCAGAGATTTCTCCTGGACCTACTGTACTTTCTTTTCCGTATTACTTACAGTCATAATTTGTGGTGATTTTCATTTTCTGTCTAAGAAGAGGACAAAGAGAAAAGATAGTCAAGGCTTTCCAAGATTCCTGAGACTTCTAAGCCGTCTTTTACTCTGACAATGAGAGGAGATGGGAGAATGGCAGTATGTTTGTTGGCAGAATAATCACCTTGCTCAGACATTTTTAGGATTCCCTGTCTAGAGTAGTAACCTTTAGAGAAATCCTGAAGGAAAAGAAAAGATGATGTGCCTTGTGGATGTCACTGGACGACCTCTCAGAAGGCACTTGGGTACACGTACTTTCATCACGTCCGTACTTCTCCCCACAGTAGAAGCTCGGCCTTCCACTTAGGAAGGATTAATGTATATTTGGCTAACTGAACAAGACAGAATCCTTTCAGTGATGGCACATTTGATTCATTAGAGCTGATCTTGGCAAAAATGTGAAGTTAGAAGGACACCTTTTGGGGAGGAAACCAGCTTGTGACTGAGATGGAGGTGATCTTATCACCTCTTGATCCAGCTCTGCAGGGAGCTCTAGAAGTGGTGCTGGTGGAATGGCAAGCCTGTGAGTCCCCAGAGACTTGACTTTGAAAGGCAGTGTTTGTTGGGATATGTAAGCGTCAGGTGCCCTGTCATTATGTGCGTGTCATTCTGAACATAAACCTGCCCCAGATGTCATATTCCATGATGAGGGTATCTGAACTCCTTAGTTCAGCCCTGCAGCTTCGCTCTCCTGTTACTGATGATTGCGAACAGTGCCCCTCATTGGAGCACTAAATCACCCCCTTAGCAGTTCTCCATTTCTCAGCAGCTTCTAGCACAAATGTGGGACCTTTGGACAGCCCTCGCCAGGGTCTGATGCCCAGTCAGTGGGCAATCTCTTTCCCTCCCAGACTGCAGTCACTTCTTAAAGAACTCATGTTCCCATGTGTAGCTCTAAAGCAGGTGACTGCCTGGTTTGTAGCATCTAGAGCTGTTATTGTGTGGGTGATGCTGGAAATGCTTGCAGTCTTTTATCATGTATGCACACATACACATGCCAAAAGTTAAGGCTGTCAACTTTATATTTTAAGAAAAGTTTTTAATTAAGGAATATTGGTAGAGACCAATAAGTAAATTAGACTTTTCTTTATTTTGAAGTAAAAGAGCTGAAGGAAGAAATAGCTTTTTAAGGAAATAACCTGATCATGAAAAGTATTTGTGTGAAGAAATACCATTTAAGTCAGTAGGGAGAGTCAGAGGGTCATGAGCAATACAAGAAGATGTGATTTTGCAAACTTTGTGGAAGAAAACATTTCCTTGTATTTTTCCTACTAAAAAACCCTGTCTTATAACAAGTTGGTTACATGAGCGTGCATTTCTGAATCATTGGTTAAAATCATTCGCTTCTGATTTGAGTTGTGGATTTTATAACTCTTCAGCTTCCCTGCCCTCATCTTTCTTTTTTTTAAGGTGAATTATAAAATTTTAGAGTTTATAAGTACAGTATACTTTAAGTCATTCTTCTGTTAGCTGAGCTCACGTGTTTGGTCTTGGAGGGCCTGGCTTCTCTGCTGCTTGTGATCTTGTGGAGTCTGTACATTAGCGTCAGTGTCTGGCGACCCCTGTCCCTGTGATGTGCACAGATACTGCTTTAACTCCAAACACACTCTGCTTCTGGGCAGCCCTTGGTGGTCTTCAGTCGCTCACTCAGGGATGCCTAGTAGTGACATTAAAATACCCACTAGCTGTCTGATGGTATGTTAAGACTGCTTATCTGTTACAAGGGTGTTGGTTCTTTCAGCAGTTCTTTGGACATACTGTTCACTAGACCCCCTCTGGAAATGTCCCAGCCCCATCCTCAAGCAGGCAGGAACCTGTGTCCCGAGGCCACCTCTGTGGTTTCTTGTTGCACTGCTGCATCGGGGCCCCTGGGGCACGGTGACGTGATCGTCAGATGCAGGCGGTGATCATCTTCTACACTTTCCTTAGAAGAAACAGGCACTACTCTGCTTAGCAAGTTTTCAAGATTCTTTGGTTACTTTTTTTTTTTTTTGGTTACATTTTTTAATCACTTCTCTTTCATGGTGAACAAATGTTTTCTGTTAAGCTACCTGAGAACACAAGAAAGAGATATTGCTTGTTTTAAGGGCCGTCCTGTCTATTTTACAAATTTTAAAGTGTGGTCAATATCTCCTCCCTGTACTTTACAAACAGAAGCCACCAGGGATGCTTGCTTGGTACCCTTGCAAAGCTGATCCCATCCACAAACTCTGTCTGTTTATAGATGTGTATGGAGTCGGTGATGACAAGAAGGGTGACCTGGAAGTAATTCGGTTGCTTCCCAGAAAGCTGATGAGCCAGTCTCGTGGCATGTTTGATGCATGAGTCCCCTGTGTCATGACAGTTTCACCACAGTGTCAGTAAACAACCCATCTGCCTCATTTGAAACTGACTGGGAACAGTCCATGTCGGATGAGACATGTGTTAAGGTTGATTTGATTTGGTTAACAGATTGGGCAAAATGGTGTCTCTATAAAGAGTCACTTTTGACCAGATGCCAGACGCTATGATACATGTAGATTTCCTTGGATTTCTTTTGGAAGTCAGCATTTACTTCTCCCGCAGTGTTCTTTGGATTGTTTGTGATTTTGTAGATCCATGCCCTTTGAATATCTGTCACATGCAATCCCACATTGCCTGTTCTTGTCTTTCAGCATTTTCAGTGAGCATCATAATGAAGTAGAAAGCAACTGTCCTGTGGTTTGTTGATTCCTTAATTTTAATGGACCTTTACTAAAAATATTAAGTGTTGGAGCCGTTAAGGATCAACTGATAAATGAGAATTTCATATTTATGTTTCATGTAGAAGTCTGTCCAAATTCTTACTCTGTATCTTGTGGGTAGGGGGAACAAGGCAGGGATTTACCTTTTTTGCAAAAATATTTGAAAACATCTGATAGATTTTATATCCATCATTTACAAAAAAACTTACTTTTAAAGCACTAAAAATTTTTTTTCCTGATTCTGAATCCTGAAATACAAGACCAGAATGAAGCCTCTTTGTACCTTGCAGATCAGTTTGCAGTGTTTGACTCTCAGTCCTGCACAAAAGCTAATAATCTCTCGCTTTATTTTTTCTTCTGGGACAGTGAGCATGGTTCACTTGAAGGTGTACCCTGTCTCTGTTGATATTTGCATTATGTTCATTTATTGTTTTTTTAACTTTGTCCATACTTTTTAGTTCTTTTAGCGTATTTAGGACAGTTGAGGTCTTTGTCTAGCGGGTATGCTGTGTGGCCTTTTTCAGACATGGCTTCTGTTGGTTTACATTTTTCTTTTCAGTGGGCCATACTTTGCTGTCTCTTTGTATGCTTTGTTCAAAGTGCTTTAGTTCATACTTTGTTCAGAGTATGATTTTATTCAAAGTGCTGGAAATCAGATTCTCCCCCTTCTCCAAGATTTGTTTTGTCTCTCATTCTGTTGTTATTGCGATTGTTGTAGTCTGTTTTTGTGCTAAAGATCAGCCTGAGGAAGCTTAAGGTCTTTCTAAGCCTACACCTTTTCCTGGGCATGCACATGGACCTTCTAAATGCCTCCATGTTTGCGATTGCTGTTTATAATGGTCTGGTCCTTAAATGTGTGGCCCATGAAGGGGGCGGGGCAGTGGTAGCACATTAAATCCCCTCAGAGTTGCTTCTGCTAGGGGGGTGGGGGTGGAGTGCTGCAGAAGTGGCTGCCTGCCTCTGCCTCCAGGATCAGAAGTACCATCAGCAATCAAAATCCAGACTCCCATTATTTGAAGAACTGGGTCTTTATTGCCCACTTTCCTCCCACTGGTTACATATAAGCTTCTCCTAGAGCTGTTGGAGTTGCGTTCTGAGACTCGAGCACGTCTG